ATAGTCTTGCCCATTGCCATGAAAATATAAATTTCAATATTTTAAATGAATATGCTCTATTTTCTGAAACATATTATCGTCCATGCAAAATTACTGGACGTCGCAACAATACACACATTTTTCCAAAACTTAGACCCTGCGATTTAATTATGGTCATAGCAAATGCAGCTATAAATAAGATCTTTGTTCTTTGAAAGTCGAATGTAAGTATTGTGCCAGAAAATATTAAATTTATTCTTGAAATTAAAATTATTTTATTTAAAGTAGCCCACGTTAGTACTTCACCCTCAGTCATGTTCCATTAACTAATGCTTGTGCAGTATTTATTTATTTATTAGTTGTACATATTTGTGGCTCACAATAAATTTGCCATCTACCTTGGTATTCAGCAAATATGGTATCAAGGAGAAGAATAACAAAACAAAAAGACAAAAAAAGTGCAGTATTTAAGTTAAGAATGAGCATAACTATAGAATTTACTATTAAATTTAATTTATGAGTAAACATTCCAATAACATTCAATGATACCATCTCTTCAAATAATAGTCCCGATTACTTCATCAAATGTAAAATTTTCGATTTATCAAAAACCAAAATAATGGAAATCGACTTTGCAAAAGGAAAAGTACTAAATGTTCAAAATGATATACCTCTGTAAAAAATAGTCAGATTTTGATGATTTTTATTTTTTTATTTTGTAGGGAATTCAAGAAGATTTCAAATAAATATTGGTATTATCAATAAAAAATGTGTACTTTTTGAGTTATTCGCAAATAAAATAGTGTATTCATCATAAAAATTTATACAGCTTGTTTTCGGGAAAGTATTTTATATACATAAATTATAAATGTTTCAAGGGGAAGACTTCAGCCAAGTTTCATTGAAATCGTTGAAGCCGTATTGGAGCTACAGTCTAAAGCGAATAACGTTTTTCCACCAACATTTCGAAAGAAAAGGCCTGATGATAATGAAACGTATAAAAAAACACTTCTAAATATTATTGCGACGTTGTGTCAAAATTTAAAAGAAATTGGTGAAGAACTTTCGAAAAATAGCCATTTTGAACAAACTACCATTTATATTTTTATTTACATACTATATCCTATTTTTATTTATTGATAACACTAAAGCTCGTCAATAGCTATTAAACAAAAAAAGAAGGAAGAAAATCGGCTGTAAAAGGGACTGAACCATTTTGTGCATGCCTATTTATATAATGATCTTCTGATATAGATAAAAAATTTATTTTATAAAAATAATTTTTTTTGTAACGGAGCTTAAACTAATAAAGAATTAGACTTTTTCATAAACAGATGCACTAAAAGAAAGCAAATTCAGTGGGAAAATATTAAAATAATGTCAATGGGTATAAGAATACAGAACGTGGCATATAGCTTGTTTACGGTTCAATGTTGGCATTAATTTACCAAAGTTCGTGTTGTAACTGCCCTTTAATAAATAACTAAATACCCATTCTCATCTGATTACTAAGTAAAAATAATTCTAACGGTAACACACAGAAAGGTACAACTCACATGCAATATCGAGGCTAGACAATGTTAATGAATAACTTACAAATCATCTTAAAGACAAGAAATAAAATCACAAATTATAGGGAAAACTGGGTTATTGTTTAAATAGTTGAGGCCCAGGCTCAGGTAAATATTAGCGTTCCCACAACACTCTAATTTGTTAGATTTTGATTTTTTTTCTATTTTTAGACCCCTCTGACACAAATGTGGCCAAGAGTCAGAAACACCAGCTCATGTAATGTCCGAATAATGAATAAGTGGATATCTGGAGATAAAAAGATACAAATGCTTCCTCTAAGTTTATGGCCTAGATACAAAATGCTCAGCGAGATTTCTAGATATCTTAGACTTTAATGCGAAAGGAAAGGAGGCTTTGATAATTGATCAACAATTAGATTTAAAACAAATGATGAAGATCAATATCTCAAAATGCAAAAAGATAAACTAGAAAATCTATTAAAAAAATGCATTCTGTACCTATAGAAAAAGTAAAAAATGGGATTTGGTGAAAGAGAATTTTCAGTAAGGAGACTTTGGTTCATAAGTAGGAGAACAACATATCTTTCGACTGCTAATTTTTTGGAAAAGAAGGATGTAGAAAGGAATCGCCTAAGGAGTATGGTGGAACCAATTAGTTAAGATTCCTGTATCATCATTCTTGCCACAGGCAGATCTACCGGAAGGAGGGGAGCTTTCGGGTTGAAGCTCTCTCTCCTCCTCCCAAAAATGGAAAAATATAACCATGTTTTATGAAAACAATTATCTCTAAAAGTATTATTGATCGTATAATTACATTTAATAGGACTTAAACACCATTTCATATTGGTAGTTAGTTTCTTTCTTATGAAATAATTATCGTAATATATAAATACAAAAAAAATATTTCGGGCTGAAGTTCCCCCAAAATTAAATTCTGGATCTGTTAGTAATTCTTGCCATTACTTTATGAATGCTATGGACAAAAGGAGTAGGAAGAAAATTTATAAGATTAAGTACTTTGGATGATAGTTCCATAAAACTTTTTTTTTGTGTTCTCTTAATAAATATTATCGATTAAGAGTGATCAGTAGAGACTAGATTTCCATGTTATTGTAAATTTTATTCGCTTGAGTGTAAAAATCCCGGACCAGAATATTTGTCCGTTTCAGGACCTGTAGAATAACATATTTAAATTTTATATTGCACCATTTTATATATTTTTACATTAAATTGCACAGTTTGTGCGGGATTAAATGATTTATAAATATAAATAAATAAATAAATATATATATATATATATATATATATATATATATATATATATATATATATATATATATATGAAGTGAATATTATTTATATGGTTATTATGAATTTGGCATCAATAAAATCGATTTTGCATTCATAAAACCACATATGTCAACTTTTCCGCAAACATTAACTCAGTTAGAACCTCGAAATTTGTGACTTCATAAACAACTTGAAATTTTAGAAACTGTAGGAGAAAATCTTAAAAAAATCAATAGCAAAAAAGGAAAATATTATAAATTTTTTCATAGTTAAGGTAATAATACTTCCAATTTCCTTTAAATCCCTTTAATCACTTTTATTATCTATAACGGGTCAATTTTCCTGAATATAGATATAATAAAAATTATATCTCAAAAATCTAATTATATTTTTTTACACCATAATAGAAAAAAATATAGGTTACGCCCTTATAAAGAATATAACGACTGCATTAAAGGCATAAATCTTAATGTTGGCAAAGGACCAGCAATTGAACTCTTTTGTTCAATTAAGAGAAGTATTAAGTGATAAGAGAAACAATTTTCGAAATGTATCACATTGTAAATCTCAACTCTATTATAAAATAAAGTTTTCGTTAAAATGTGTATAATTTATATTATGTATGTACATATATTATTTCAAATTTGAATTGAATCATCATTTATGTTAGTCCTCATTTATTTTTTTAATTTCTCTTTCTTCAAGATTTAGGTTGATCACAATTTATTGTGGTATTAGATTATGTATTGTTGTCGTTAGTTGATTGTAATATGGACTTAATTTTCAATATTGCATTTTAATTTTTTTTTTTGTGACTCAATATTTCATTTCAGTAGCTTAACATGAGGTTTGATAGGATTTTGATGTATTAATATTATAAATTAGACCAAACAGATGATTTGTGCACATTTTAGGTGTAAATTAAACAATTTTACATATTTTGGGCTCTTACTGCACGATTTTGTTTTTTTCTGAACGTTTTTCGTCTTGTTATTGGACGAAGATCTGGCCCCTAGTGATCAGCCTGCTGTGTCATTTAGCTACCCCACACAGTGGAGCAGCCTTACAATGTTATTCTACTTCTCTCTAGTTTCTTCATTTATTCTGTTACATTGTCCATGGGGTCAGGAGACCATCCTGGGGCACATCCAGCCTCTATAAAATATTTATCCTTAATCAATTAATTAATAAGGGAGAAAACTTGGCGGTTGAGCCTGATATCACACAAATCTCCTTCTTGCACAACCATTGACTGAGAAAAAGTATTTTCTCTAAATAGTACTGAACCCAAAATCCTTCATGGTACAGGAATGTTTTACTTTTTTTCTAGTTTCTTTCAAAATGTTGAAGTACGAACAATTAATCTGTAGCTCTTAATTAGTTTTTCAGATATTTATTATTTCTAATTGTTGCTATTTTTTTATTTAATGTTACTTTAATGTGTATATAGGTATGTATGTGTTCTTTTTATTAATTTATTTTTAGGTTATTTTATTCTTATTTATTGTATATATATTATTTTTCTGTATAATTTATTTTATTTACTGTACATAGAGTGTGAATGTGATCTGTGAACACTATTATAAATGTCCTTGAGACAGATTGTAATATTTTTCAATAAATAAGATTAAAAAAAAATGTTACGAGGAGGTAGCTGCCAAACCTTGTCCCCTAGCCATGCCCATAACTAGTTACTGTTTAACTGGCAGTTCACAGACTTAAAATTATTTAATTCAAAATAACTTTCCAAAAAACTCAAACTTGGAATGTTGATCAGATACTTCTCCTCTCGATGGCGAGAAAACATTACCCCCGCCATTCCAACAGCAAACGAGTCATAGGTTCTGGTCCCACGGCTAGTTGTCATCGAAAATATGATAACACTTCTCTCAAGTTTGTAAATATATGTAATATATTGTCATATAAAATTCTAATATTTTCTAACTCAATTTTGGCAAAAATGAACAAGGTATGAAACTGGATTAGTTCCTTCTGAAGGAATAGAACGGTAATAATCCATATTTTAACTTTAAGTTCTCAAGACATTTTGAGGTTAAGATATGTTACAAATTGTAAAAGTGCCATTAGTAATGAAATTAAGTAGTTTTGTTTTAGTCTCTTGTAATGCAGGGAGAATTGAGTTAGATGGTATAAGAATTTGTTTTAAGTAATTTATCTTTTAAGATTAATAGACTGAGGTATTTGAAATTAAGAAAAAAATAATTTATTTACAAATATAAAAAATAAATTATTGACATCACAGTAAAATACTTAAAAGATTAAAATTAACGGTTTATAAAAAATTATAGTAGGCTTGACCTTGAGCTCATAGCCTTGCCAACTTTGGAATTGGTTGGTTTGTTAAGAGCTAAGGTGATGAAATCGGCTGCCTCTATCAGCCTCTTCAAATTGATTCCCGTCTTGATTCCCATTCCGTGCAGCATGTAGACTAAATCTTCAGTTGCCACGTTTCCTGATGCTCCTTTCGCATAAGGACATCCACCAAGACCAGCTACTGAAGAATCCACAACGCTCACGCCCATCTAGTGACAAAAAAAAAAAAAAAAAAAAAAAATAGTAATGCTAACAACTTTGATAAAAGATATGACAGTGACAAGAGGGACTAAATATTACATAGTCATAAGTAGCGAAGATGAAAGTAATTAAACAACAATGTATCCACATTTTTTAAAAATAAAGTTCATTCCCAATGCTGTAGTTAGTGTAAAAGAAACTAAGATATAATAATTTTTTAGTTAAAATAAATAATATTGAATACTTGATAGTTGAGCGTTACATTATAAAGGTAGGAGATGGTTCGGGGTAGCTGTCATAAATAGGCTAAATAGTGGTAAAACTATTTTATTAAAAGCCAACGTTTCGACCCGACTTTGCAGGTCTTCTTCAGGGCTAGAACAGACAAGATACAAAAAGATAGAGAATTGTGGAAGTTACATAATATTTAGACAAAAAATTATAAACAATATGAATAAGCTTATTAAAATTATAAACAGAAAGTAAATTAAAATATAAACAGAGTAAGCTAAGTAACAAGGTCCTAAACTGAAGTAAATAGATGGTAACAATTGTTGTAGTCCAATATATAACATATGCAAATGTGAATAATGCAATATATAAAATATGAATAATAAATGCATATAAGTGAATAATAAATGCAAATGTAAATCTGTAGAAGTATATTCACATTTGCATTTATTATATATTACACTACAATTGTTAGCATCTATTTACTTCAGTTTAGGATCTTGTTACTTAGCTTACTCTGTTCATATTTTAATGTACTTACTGTTTATAATTTTAATAAGCTTATTCACATTGTTTATAATTTTTTGTCTAAATATTATGTAACTTCCACAATTCTCTATCTTTTTGTATCTTGTCCATTCTAGCCCTGAAGAAGAGCTGCAAAGTCGGGTCGAAACATTGGCTTTTAATAAAATAGTTTTGTCACTATTTAGCCTATTTATGACCGCCACCACGGACCATCTCCTTCTTTTAAAATAAATAATGTTAGACAACCTAAAACATTACTGGCCACTATGAATTTTGGGGTACAATTCAATTTGGAGGTTTGTCCTCATTGCTGTATCAACATCCCAAATTCATGATGAGATATTTTAACTACAGATTGCTGCAATAAAAATGATAAAAGAAGAATTTAAAGGTATTGCCACATAAGTTTTAAGAACTGAAATACAATCATACCTATACTTAATAAGTTTTAAGAACTGAAATACAATCATACCTATACTTAATATCAACATTTAAATTCTAACATCACCTTAATTACCAGAATTAATTGTTCATAAAAATTATTATATCTTAGTATCTTTTTATTTTTTTTTTAATATAAAAAACGCACCCCCTGACCAACTCCTCATAATTTTTTTATGCCTGATTGAATGGAAACCATTGATATGTCAAATATATCAATGGCAAAGCACTACTTTAAAGTAATGAAAGTGAAAAATCATATTTTTCATTTATTTTCGTTTACCATAGTTACCAGAAGAGCAGAATCAGTAATGCCATTTTTACGAATTTATAGCTTTGTTACATGTAGAGACAAATAATCATAATTGAATGTTTACATTGAAAATATTCCCACATTTGTTACTTTAATATGGTGTGACAAGATATTTTGTGTTTGAAATAAGCTATCAATTATAACATGGAAGCTATTAGTAACAAAATAAGGCAGCTTTTTTTTCATAACATCTCGTAAAGTTGTGAGCATCGAGAAAGGGTTGTTACAATTTACATGAGGCGGTTAAAGGCAGAGTGGTGAAAGAGGAATTTGGAAAAATTCTGACTTCTGTTTGAAGTCACAAAATCCCTGCAGTTTTTGTTGTAGTACTAAAACTTGTAAATCAAACATTGTATTTATTGACTTCATTGCTTTAGGGCATATTTTGTATGTTTTAATAGATATTAAATGCAAGTTTAATAATGAATTTTTGTACAAATACTTTTAACAAAACTTGAGTCAACAAATAAAAATAAATCCAGGCTCCAAATCAATAAATAATAATAAATAAATAATAGTGGATTGATGGCTGACTGTAGTGAATAATTGTAGAGAAGAGTGATTGGGGTATTCAGTAAAAAAAAAAAAAATATATATTCTTTTCACTGCTTCAAAAGAAAATAAGGAGTTGTCACGCGTTTCCATTTGCAACATTGTTTCCAATTATCATTTACAGCCCCCATCCTCCTCTTCTTCTTTTTCTCCTCAATTTTTCAAAGACCTTTCTTTTACCCGATCCTTCTAAAATCCCATGACGTCTTCATAACCAGTGCTGATAAAGGCAACAAAACCGTTATTATGGACCATACAGAATATATTGACAAAATGACTTTACTCCTATCAGACCATTCCACTTACGCTCCCATATCCCATGACCCCACCCCACCACTAAAAACCAAATTTAACCTATACCTAAAAAATCTTTTAAATTCCAAACTTATAAAATTTTTTCCCCTCCCTTTTTAGGCTATACAGGGTTTTCCTGGGCCAATGAGGGAGGGGGATTAATGGCAGAGTTAAAAAACCCCACTGGGCGAACTCGTACTTATTTTATTCTGTATGACTTCGGTCATCAGATTGACGGGCAAAGTGAGGTGCTGTGCAAACACATCATAGTTGCCTCATTGGAAGACATACGTCTACATCTAGAATCTAATGATAATGGTTCAAGGCTGGTGGATTTCACAGCATTCTAAGATATGGTTGATGTTTTTAGTATGTTTGACCGTAAGAACATCTACACAGCCACGTGAGTTACCTCAGACAACAAGACTAGTAGTACCCCATTGACATATTCTGGTTAGTCGGAGACAAAGATCTAGTCTCATTGAAGTAAGAAAATTCAGAGCAGCGAATGTTGATAGTCACTACCTGGTTATATCACGCATTCAACTCAGAATAAGTAATGCTTATAAAACGAAAGGGGCTCGAATGAAAAGGATTAATACTCACAAACTACATGAACCAGAGTGTAAGAAAGAATTCACCCAGAGATTTGATAAAATTCTAGAAGGGGACCTTTATGAAGATATGGTGAACGGAAGATGGAACTATTGCAAATTTGCCATCAAACAAACTGCAGAAGACGTTCTCAGTATGAAGCAAGGCCACCAGAGATCTGAATGGTTTGACTTGGAGTGCCAGACAGGAAAAACGAAGCTAATAGGAGAATGACTGAGAGGCACAGAACTTGCCAAGCAGTTAAGAAATATGAAGATAGAAGGCAAGAAGAGATATGCATTCAAAGAACTTAACCAATCTCCTCTTTAATAAATAATAGATTTGTCAAGTCCTAAGACACCAGGATCACTTCCTAACAATATACTCAAATAAAACAACTGCATCAACACAGATACAATCAACATCTTTGGGAAATACCAATAAACAGGCTTTACTTTGCGGAGAAAGTTGACAGAAATTATGAAATCCTACTGATGTAACAGAAAAACAATAATATACACTTCAGCTATCAATTTTTTTCTAAAATCAAGAGGTTTTTAAGATAATCAGTTTTTTCACCAAAGACAACCAAAATAAATGAAAATGTTGTAATTGAATTGTTTATTCAACTTCTCAAAAGATAATAGATGACGTAGTACGTATGAATTAATTGCTTTATCTCGAGATAACTTGACAGCAGACAGTGATATATTCTTATCAAATGGTGGGTGTGTTGTTTTCTCTACCCAATCAGAAACTATATCAGAAATGGTAACTATTAATAATCTCTTATTTAACTTCATTGATAACTACCAAATGTTATTGATCATCCTTATGCTCAAATAAAAATGGTATAGAAACAGATCCCTTCCAAATCAATCATTCACAAAACCAGACAATACAATCATTATTTCGTAATAAACAAGAATGATTCGTGCTATTACAAAATCATTCATACTTTTGCCAATGATTATAATTAAAGTATTAAGAATAATTAGAAATCATTATCTTTATTCTAGAATAATTAATAACATGGTATTATTTAAAAAATATCTAAATTAATATTTTTTTTTAAATTAAGAAAAAAACAAGAAGGATTTTATATTATCTAAAACAAGAGTGGCATCAACTAATATACACCATATGTATCAACTGATCTATATCTATACCTTTTATAAACTAATCCGCACATTTAAATGGAACAATACATAATATATATATAATTACAAGCCAAACAGTTTGATTAACAATAATACTCTTGAATCCCATCTTTGTACACTAATGCTGAAACCATATGTACTTAACAAGCCAAAGAACCAGGTTTAATAGATCAGCCTGTTATCTTTATCATCAACAGCTGATTTATTTAGGTAATTGTTAACCATTTCTCGCAAATAATTGACCACGTAGCTCATGACAAAGTATTATAGAAGCTAAAGCTAATCTAGTCAGTTCAACATTAATCAAAGAAGGGTTATCATGATTCTCCATCAAGAAAATCAGAGATAAATTTGAAGATGAACCAATTCTGCAGTGTTAGAATACTTGAAGATTAAAATTAACTTGCCCTTACCCTTGAAACTATTTCTCTTAATTTTTTTTTAGAAATATTATTAATGCGATGGCTAAGAATTAATAGCTTGCAATTCCAAAAAAAATTAGATTTCATGATTAGACACCTTTGATATCATGAAACTGGATGGCATCGATCAATAAGAGGTGAGGTATCATAATTGTATGCGAGATATGGTGTGAAAAATATAATGCCCCTCACTACATCTAGTATCTCGATTATCCTCACTGAGAACAGTCGAGAAACTAAAACCTTTTAACATGCCTTATTTGAGTCATGAAAAACTTCAATTACATTTTAGAAATGTTTTTGTCTCAACTATAAAGTAGTATTTCATTATAGATATAAGACTTAACTTATTGGCTGTTGAATAGTTAATTTACCTGAAGCGCTGTCAGTATATTCGCAAGAGCTTGGCCGTAAGTATCATGACAATGGACAGCTAACTTGTTGATGGGGACAACTTTGGACACTTCTTCCAGCATTACCGCCATACTTCCAGGTGTACCAACGCCAATTGTATCTCCTAATGATATTTCATAGCAGCCACTTTCGTGTAATACTTTAGCAACCTAAAAATACATGTTTTCAATGAAGAAGATTATCTCAAAGAGATTCAAAATAATTTCAAGGAAGTTTGATACCAAAATATATTATTTTCACCAATAACATTAACAAGTGACAGTATTAGAAATAACAATCTAAAATTTCTTAATCATGATGAAAACTTATAAACTCAATCATTAATTAATTCTTAGGTTGATTTTAACAAAATAATTCCAGAAAAAACAGTTTCAATTACTTGAGTAGTATTAAATTATTAATTTTGAAAATAAGAACAATTGTATTAATTTATTTGAATTTAAATGTATCAAAAATTATATTTTTATGCGAAACACAAATATTTTTGATTTAGTAGAAAATGACACCCCATATATTAAATATTATAATTTAAATTGCAAAAATATATTAAATCTGTAGTATCAAAACTCACGAATGCATAATTTTTGTGAGTGTGAATTTGGAACAGTCTACTATCTACAGGCCAGAGTGTTTACAGAAAAAAAAATGTAAAATTTGTTTTGAAATAACACTAAGAAATATTATATTATATTTTACTATATTACATTACAAAAATTGTAAATTTTCATATTTTATAAACCTCCTTGAAAAAAGTTCTAATTAGATATATCAGGTTTTGATTCTAAAGACATCACATATATATAATTGGCAAAAAAAAATGAAACATTCAATAAAATTACTTTAATTAATTAATTAATAATTTTAAATAACATGTGTGAATAAATAAAATTCTAATGATGCAATTCATTGCAAAAAAAAAATGAAACATTGAATTTAACATTTCAAGTTTATCAAGAACAGCATTTGAAAATAATAATTTTACTCTAAGAAGAACGTATAAATACAAAAAATAAGTCACGATATATATGTATATATGCTGTAATGAATGATTGTTTTTGCCTTTTCACCAATGTTTTCATTTCAAGAAGATAAGAAAAATAATTATTTTGTTTTCAACAAAGACCTGTTATATAATTGGTACTTCACTTTCATCAAAATATTTGAACTACTATTTTCCTTAAAAATTAGTATATATCCAAATGTTACTCAATAAATACAACCATGTTAACAATATATCCATAAAAAAATAAAATAAAATAATAATATAATATTTTGATCAACCAACAGAAGATATAGAACAATGAAATTATGATAGTATTTTTAATGAAATATAATATTGAATATAATAGTTGAATGCTTACATGAACTACGGCTTTTGGAGAAATGTAACCTTCATATGGACAACCACAAACACAGGAGACATAACCTCTTACTTTGATACCCTTATCTAACGCAGCGGATATGACTTCCTTAAACCTTGACAGACTTTCATCGATAGAACAATTAATGTTTTTCTTACTGAAACTTTCTGAAGCAGATCCAAACACAGCAATTTCTTTTGCACCAGCTTTCACCTAGAACATACTTATCCTAAGTGGTATGCAGTGAAAAAAATACGTTAAGCACACTGATAAAATATTTCAAGGTAAAGTTTTCGTATAGGTATTCAATTTCTATACCGTAAAAGGTAAGATAGGCTAAGTAAAGAGTCAAATAATACATACTGCAGTTTCAAGGCCTTTTAGATTAGGAACTAAGACTGGGTAAGAAATAGAATCATCTAAATTTAAATTTTCCATAATTTCTTTATGATCAGCCATTTGTGGTACCCATTTTGGTGAAACAAAACTATAAAAAAAAAACAACCATTATTATCATAATTTAAATAAACAGTATCTCACATCATCACATGAATTATTTTTGATAGTTAGTATGATTAGAGAGGGTCATTGGTCATATATTCCTTTCACTTGCTAACTGATTCTAAATCTAAAAAAAACTTGTCTCGTGATTCAAACAATTATGTAATGATGAAAGACATGCCTCTTGCCCAATGAACAATGTGACAGACATAACATAAATTCATGATCATAAGATTGAATTAATTGAGACACCGATGTGACAGACATAACATAAATTCATGTTCACAAGATTGAACTAATTGAGACATAATTGATTGGTCATTGAGTTTTTAATTTTCATAATGTTAATATGAAAATAATTTTTTCGGAATCGAAGAAAATTCTTAATAAGTAAAGAGGAAGGAAATGGTCCGGGATGGCTTTTTGATCGTCACCCAGAACCATATCCTTCCTCAATTATTTACAACGGTCAACCATCGAGTATTCAGTATGTAAAATACTTCACAAACATTGTCTCTTATTTACAAAAAAAAAACAAAAAACAGACAAAACATTAATTATCAATTGAACAACTGACTGACATAAGAAAAAAAATGTTTTTTGACAGAAGAAAATGATAGATCCACATTTTTTAATTATCTTTTGTAAATGATGTGACTTTGGGTTAAGTTTCTTTTATTTATTTAAGGTGACATACAATTTACTTTTTAATGATGAACAACCATTATTGGGAAATAAATATTTTTTTAAAAAAATGAAGAACTGGACAAATAATATATTAAGTGATTAAATGTTTAATATTGAAAATGACCAAAGAATCGGAAGATACAAATATTTTAAAATAAGGAATAGGTTTTTTTTTTTTTTATGTCTTTAAGGAAAATAAAATATAAACAATTATATATAGTATCATTTTGAAATGAAGGGCCTAACTGCAGCAACTTTTGTAGAAAACATGAAAAATCTCCAATTTGAACAAAACAAAAGGTTTTAATAATATATGTACTTTTCATATGTAGTCACAGCTTGTGTTTCTTTCAAATTAGACACCGTTAAAAAAGTTTTCATTGAAAATTATTCCTTATTAATTTTTTATGAAGGTTTTTCATAAAAAATTTAAACAATTATGACTAAAAATGGATCTTTTAATTTTGTACTAAGCGAACAATACCATTAAAAGCCATAATAAAGATGAATGATTAACGTTAAGAACACAGATGGGAATAAATACTGAAAAACAATACCATTAAAAGTGATAATGAAGATAAATAATTAATGTTAAGAACCAGGTTGCTTATAAATACTATGTTCATTGTCCTCATATAATTAATGTTGATTCCAAATTAATAAATGATAATAAAAACCTTGTGACTTCTATTGTACTAAGTCCTGCCTGTGAAAGCTTTTTAATCAATTCCAGCTTAGTTTCCGTTTCCACTTGCATGGGTTCATTTTGCAATCCATCCCTTGGACCAACTTCGACAACTTTTACATGATTTGGCAACCTGCCTTGCAATGTTTCCTGTAAAAAAATAAGCATAAAATAAATAAATCAGGAAATAAAAACAAAAAAAATTTAAAAAGTCACAGCAAACACCTACAAATGTTTTGACAGGTACCACTGTCAAGGACAAATCATGAATAAACACAAGGTTGTAAACAACCCATCCAAATAAAAAATAATACTTATAATTCTATAAGTTCAAATATAACTACAAAATATGATTGATGCTGCTTTAAGTCTTTTTATATTGCTGATGTAGAAGATGTTTACTTCATTATAAACAAATAACATAAAAGCAATAGTATACAATATGTTCTGTATAATAAATGAAAAAAACAAAACACAATTATGATTGATAAATCTTAGTAATGATCTTACTTTTTAACACTTGAATGAAAACCTGAACATAAAAGAAAGATATAAACTACCTGCTCAACAGTAGGTCTCTGAGAAATAACAGATGAACAAACATGCTTAATTGATTTGTAAAGAATGTCCAACATATCAGATACAAACACACTGCGAGTTTATTAAACACTAGTATTTATTGGAAAACCTTTCAAACCAAGAAGTAGACCAATGATTTGCTGTGAGTGGCACTCAATGGCTGCCTGCTGAGTCTGCTATCTGAACTGAACTGGAGTGGAGGCAACACTAGGTCATAACCCCCACCACACTACAGCTCAATCCACAGAAAATTACACTTGATTGCCAGCAAATAACATTGCTTTATATATTTGAATAATTCTGTTCAGAATTTTGAATTAGCAATAATTCTAAAATAAAATATATATAGAATAATAAAATGACAAAACAATATACTTTTTTTTGGCCAATATGTGATATTAAACCAAGTTTGAATAGCAAGTATAGTGCTATTAGAAGTCAATATTACAACATTGATTTTATTAACATATACAGCATGAACAGTTTTATTAAATTAAATTCATAATTCAGCATTTTAAATGTTTTCATATAAATTGGCTCTAAATAATGTAAATAACATGAACATTCAATGACAAGTAGTTTATCTGATTAATTTAAAATATTTATAAGCAAACTACTACAATTAAATATATTATACATTTAAGATTATAGCTTTTAATGTGTTTATATTACGTTTTTGTTAAATATATGTGATGAAATGAACTTAAACACTTACATAGAGTCTTCTAGCAAATCTGGTGACATTTTTCTGTTGAAGATTTCTCTCTGCTTTAATAAGCAAGTGAAATACAACCATAGCAATTCTTAAAATAAATACCAACGTTCCATAAAATGCTTACAATAATAACTTATATAATAAAATTATCATTGCATATTTTCTATTAACCATAGTGATAAGGTTAGATAGTGAGGAGAAGGTGCTCCTCTCTGTCTTCTTTAGTCAGTACTAAACTTCTAATGAATTCATTTTTGGTATCATGAAATATTGTTCCATCACAATATTCTAATTTTTTAAACAGACAATAATGAATCAAATAGAAATGGTGATATTAATATTATAATATTATTTCTCAAAAGGATAAAACCTATAATTATAGACAAATTCTGTTATATCATTTAAACTATTACAACTAACAAACACAGTAAATTTAGTTTTACTTATTTATTCCAATCATTTACATTAAATTTCGTTTTCTCCTTATTCTGGCTACACTTCTTGCAGAGACTGATTAAGAAGTAAGTGGCCACGTACGTCTCTGGATAGCAAAAGACTCCAAAGGAACTCCTAGGTGTTAAAATAATTTAAGAATTTTGAAATTAATAAAAAGGTTGGAGAACCTTTTCAGAAGACAACTTAAAAGGTTAAAAACAAAATGTTAAATCTATGATTCTAAGATTTTTTAAATTTAACTTTGAGATTTTTGAAATTACTAAAACGGTTGGAAAACCCTCTCAAAAGACAACAGAAAAGGTTAAAAACAAAATTTTAAATCTATGACTATTCTCATAATAGTAAAGTTTCATAATTAATCTGAGTTTTTGTAACTTTTTTTTGGAGGGGAGGAGAGGTCCAGAATATTTACCTCTTAGGGTTTCCATCTATTTGATTTTATTCACCCCTGATAGATTGAATAGAGTATTTTTAGGAAAAATATTAAGGTCACACCGATGAGAACATAATTTTATCTATTATTTAATTTAATATAATTGTCTAATTTAAACAAAACTATTTGACAGGGGAATCACATTATTATTCTTTTTTATTTTAGCATATTTTATGGGATTTTGGGTCACATAAATGCCAATACATTTTTTATTTTTGTAGGACAAATTTTTGGCCAATTCGAATGATATTGTTGGAATTTGATATTTACTTAATAATAATATGCAAAATATATCATAAGCTCAAAGAAGGAAACTTCTTAATGCTATAAATATGAGTAAAGAAATATACAAGTGTTTTCTCTATTATGTTTGTTCTTTGGTTTTATAAGAATAATTACTGGCATTATCCCAATAAAACTAATTTAAAACTACAAAAAATGATTTATTTGCAGGTAGAATAATTTAATTATAGTATAATTTCATTCTATAGGTACATTAGTGCTTAGTATTTTTAATAGTTTTTTTTTTCATTGTGCTGAAAGAGAAAGAAAACATTTTAAATAAATTAATTTACAATGAGAAAATTTAGTTTTTCTCAAAAATTACAATTATAGTTGTAAGTTGTTAGATCAAGTTAGCAGCCAAAAGCTGGATTATTGGAGCCAAAATGGAGTATAGGCTGGCTATAATTGTATTTATTGAAGTGTTTCTTCAACAAAAGAATTTTCATTTATTATATTATGCTAGTATTTTTAGCTGAATGGACCATTTTAGATATAAATTTACTTAAAAAAATAAGTTTGTAGTTTGGCCTCAAATGAAACTGTTGAATAATCAGTGGATTAATTTTAACTGTGCCTAAAACTAGCAGTTGAAAGTAAGGTCAAACAATAATTAAAAGTAATAATTATTAATGCAATTTTTGTAGGATTATCATAATACTTAAATAAAACACTTTATTAATATTAACTGTATTAACAGACTTGTGTAATTTAAAAATAAACTGTTCTACAGTTTTTTATTCAATTTACTGTACTATATAGATTTTTTTTTTTCAAATTCAACTGATATTGTTTGAACTAGTTCATCAATTTGTTTTGAAAATATTGGATTAACTAGTTTATTAATAAATACTGTTTTTTTCTAGTTATTAGATAGATTTATGTTTGTAATATGTATTACAAGAAATTTAGATATGAGTGTTTAAAATATTTACAAATATTAAGTGCTTGCATACTAATAAAAGCAAAAAACAATTTTATTTGACCTTTTTTACTTGATTTTATTTTATTATAACATCTAGATTTATTTATCTATCACTATTGTTTTTATTTTTATTTGTAGAGGACAAGTCTGATGTTATGGGTTTTGATTTAAGAGACATCCTAGATGGCTTCCGTAATATACCATGACAGCTGATGGAAGTTCATGGAAGACCCAAGATTCAACACTAAATGTTAGTACTGAAAAAGTAAGTGATTGGATATAATTATGTACATTTATCTTGTTACGAAATATTTATCAATTTAATTAAGTAATAGCTATTGCTTTAAATAAAGCTATTTAGGATTGAATTATGATGTAATTTAAATATTTCATTTTAACCTGGCAATTCTATTTCAATATATATATATTTTTTTTTTCTAATAGTAACAAATTGATGTTCGATGTGCTACTTTGTTTAAAAAAAAATGGATGAAAATATACCAATATTTTTGTCTATTTTTTATCCATAAATCAATATTAAAGTTTGATTATTGGGAGCATTATTTTCCCAAAACAAAAAAAATGTTAAATAAAATAAAAACGTCAACAAGGAAAGCCTCCAAACTGGTGCTTTATAAAAATGAGATTATTTTTAAACGAAATACCTGAAAAATATTAGTTTAATTAATTTTGTTTATATCTTAGCCAATAACTTTTTTCTTTTTTTTAATAAAGAAAATGTAAATTCTTTTTATAGATTTCAGTCATTATTAATTATTTTTTCTCTAGTTGTTAGCATTAATTCTATTTAATAAAAAATGTTATTGCTTTTTTAGGTTTTAGTAATTTTTTCAATATTGATTTTCTTTTAATCAATTTAATTTTTTGTTTAGTCTTAACATTTATTTTATTATTAAGCTTTTCAAAAAAAGTATCACCTTATAAATGTTAATAAGTTGATATTTTTTGCTAAATATGCATTAAATATATTTTCACTGTCAATATTAAAGCTATCATTTCAATTTTAATCCTTGTTATTGTTTTCAAAAGTTGAAAACACTGATGATTACAATGTAACAATATTATTGTTTCGTATTTATAACCTTTCTCTTTTCTATGATTAACAAAAAATTAGGCCTTAAATATCGAAATAATATATTTTATCAATGCATCGAATTGCTATACCTGTATATTTGAAAAATATCAATATTTTATATACTTTTATAATACAGTTCAACCTCTTTGCATTAAACTTTTATGTATCTAAAATCTATATGCATGTAATTTTTAATTTCACTTAATATATGTAATATATAGTAAGGGAAAGTATTGTGATCGTGAAAATTTTTGAATCTGAGTTTTCAACAGAAATACACGTTTTGGGGTCTCCTTAGTCCAAATAACCAAGATCTGCAAAATGGCCTGTGTTTATGTGAACAGTCTAGCTCAAAAACGAAGTCGTACGAAACTGATATTATGTATTTAAGATAGGTATATACCTTGGATATTACAGCAACCTTTTCCTTAAAATCAGCTAACGGGAAGTGCTACTCTATATCAACAGTTAGACACATTTATACAATTTTCTTAAAAATGACTTAAACAATTTTGATTAAACTCTATGTATCATTGTATAATTGAATGGTCTTTAATATCATTTAGGTCTTATCCCTATTGATGTCACTTTACAGGGCTTAAATGCCCAATGTTCAACACTTCTTAAGTACCTTTAATTTGGTTTATTTGAAATAATTAACAATCTCTCATTATTAAGAGTTACGAAAAAATACTAACTATAACTTTCAAAAGAATTTGATGATTAAATAATGGATAAAAAAGAAAAAATGTTTATTTAGCTCAAAAAATGAATCTTCCGAAATAATAGCGAGAAGGTATACGTATAATATATCATTGGGAAGTGGAAAATTTTATATAACGCCAATATCTAATATAGAAAGTTGTAGAAGGTAATGAAGAGTGACAAAAAATTATAAATAATAATTTGTGAAAACAAATATTATTTAATGGATATCACATGTTTCCAAGGAAATTAAATGAAATTTACTAACTAAATGTAAACTTTTAAAACTTTTTTAAGTTTGAAAAAAGTATTTAAAATCCATATAATCAAGGCCATGACAAATTGTATTAATAATTGTATTAACAAATTATATTTAAATAATTAGGTATTAACATCCGTTTAACCCGAAAAATCAATCGTCATGTAACATTTTAAAAAATTAAATTGGTGAATAATTTGATGAATTTTTCCTTTGTGAAATCCCAAGATTATCCACTTACAATTAGTGTGATAATTTTGACCTATCTATGACAGGCAATGAAACTCTCGTAATTTCATTTCAGTAATCTTTAAAATGGAAAATAAGAGTTTAGTAACCAATAGTGTACAATCTATAATCATTTATAGGTTGAATATTAGAGATGTACTTTCAAGCCTCTCTAGGCATATATTGCTCATAGACTGGAGTTATGTGGTTTCCAAAAACAGATGGAGTA